CGTACGTACGTACGTACGACGACGACGTACGTAACGGTACGGTACGTACGTAACGTAACGTAACGTAAGTAGTACGTACGTACTACTACTACTATATATAGTATACGTCTCTCTCTCTCTCTCTCTCTCTCTCTCTCTCTCTCTCTCTCTCTCTCTCTCTCTCCATGCCCCCAAATAAATCTCTCTCTCATCTCAAATTCATATCTCTCTCCTCACTCTCCATCCTAGTGTCACGCCAAACTCTAATCTAAGGTTTTATTGTTTGGAGAGGGTTACGCCCAGCCTAGGAAGAGTTTCACTCTTCATGCTATACCCTTATTTGATCTCAAGGTGTTCCTACAAACCCTAGTTGTGTTTTCAGCCCTCTAAAACCCTAATTTAAGAAGTATAACCTATGAAAGCTATAGGATAAAAAATGCGTCATCGGTCAGGAAATCGGGTATACGAGGTGTACCAAGTCATGTGGGGGTACCCTAAGCACAATCAAGTAAGTCTTCCCGGCTGTTTACTTTTATTTTTCAGTCATATTTTCATTTTTAATGTTCTTTTATAAGAACATATTTTGTATATAATTTGATCGTTGAATGTTGGATTTTGTTCCTAAATTGTGTTTATTAGTTTTGGCAGTAAAAAGAAAAGTCCTAGGTTGTATTTAGGTTTTTATTTTTTTGTTTACAGCAATGTATTGTGGCACTTGTAGATGGAATGCAGATTCATTAATAAAAAAACAAAAAAAATTTATTTTATTATCTTGAATTCCACACAGCCACACCTTTCACAAATATTGTTCCTAAATATCTCTTCAACCTCAACAAGGGACGATCATCTAAAAAACATATCTAAAAAACCTTCAACGTAGTGCCTATGCCCAGGGAAAAAAGGGTTTTGGACATGACCTAGGCTATAGATTGCCCAACCCTAAGTCAGTCAACCAACATACACTCCCACTGAAGTGCACAATCCACTATATTATTTTTTCTATGCTCTCACGGGCTTTGAAGGCTACAAACCCCAAGAGTAGGACGAATAGTAGGATAGTACTGATGATAACCTATTGAGCACATAGAGAAAGGGGCAGCCTCTATGGGCGATATCATTATGTAAAAGTTTCACCGCATGAACTGAAAGTATCGTTCTCAAGTGATGCTGACCAAATGAACATTCCAGGGCCTTCTAGATCAATATAAACGAGTAACAAAATAGTTTCAAAATACATTAGGAAGAAAATCAACGTAGTTGCAAATCAAAGGAATCAAAAACTTCAACTTGCTAAAGGAATGTAACATTTACCTCTAGAATAGAAAACTTTCAGCACTCCATACAAGACATTTCAAGAATCAAGCTTCATGGCCCCGGCCATACTCCACTGGCACTAGACTACATTTTAATATGTGGTGCTTCCCAAGGAAAAGTAAAATTATACCATTCACTAAGCATAAAAAATAATGTTACCTTTATCTCATTAACAGCATGCTTCCTTGACGGCGCTGAAAACCTATTCACGAAAATAACCTGTAAAACAAATGAAGCAGAAAAGATATATAATAGGAGTTAATCCAACATAAACACCAGATGAAACCCATATAATTACTTCTCCTCTCATCTATCAATATGCACTGATAAACTTATCAAGCAAGGGTAATAAGTACCTGCATGGCCCGGATAATTGTTCCTACAAAGGGCATGTCATCATGGGATTCGGAAGCCACAATAGTTGGAAAGAGGTCATAGAAAAAGAAAATGGGTTCTATATAAGACACATGATTTGATACAACTATGGGAGCAATCTCCCGTGATATAGGCTTTCCTATACGCTTTATCCAATTATATCTGCAAAAAGAAAAAATGAAGCAAATTAGAGTGCCCATTATTACTCATTTGCTTATCATGACACAAAAAAGTAAGTCTGATGAAGATCTACAAGACAAGTATATATATATATGAGATATATCCAGTGATATGCGTGAAATGGTATGTTAAAAATTTAATATGTTTATCAAACTAGAGGTCACGAAGACTACCAAATGGTGCTAAAGTGTTAGAGAACTGATTTTCCTTTTTCATAGGCAACACGCATTTGATAAAAATTCAACGAGTGCATTTATTAAGTTCATCCAGTGTAGACAAACATAGACATATACAGAGAATGCTGATACAACAATCAAGAAAAAATGCTGGTGCTGTTAAAGGAAATAAATAAAGAAAAATATAAATTAAAAAAATGGAAATAAACAGATGGAGAACACATAAAGACAGAGATTTTCCAATCAACAAATGACATGAGCCAAGGAGTCAGCATTTCAGTTTGTCTTCAAAAAGTGAGGGGAGAACATCCTGAAGTCCTTTTCTATTGATAAGAAAATGTGTATCCCAAAGTCTCACCCTCTTCCATAATATAGCAACATTTTTGGGGAAAGAAAAAACTATGACACTTTGTTGTCTTCCACCATAAGCAGATAGTAGGCAAATACTTGTAATTGCTGGGAAAACCCATCTGACGTCAAGAACACATCTAACATCGACATGAAAGTCACTTGTAATACAAGGAAGCCCCAAGGACCAAGATTCCTGAGAGAATTCCCACGTATATTGAGCGGCAAGGCCCCTCTTGCATCAGATCCAATGAAAGATGTTCAAGAAACTTGCAAGTATTGAATCAAAGTAGCTACTTTCTACTCTGAACAAGGTCTTATACAATAATTTATTCGCACTCCCTTCAGGAGAAAGGACCTGGATAATAAGAGAGTCTCGAATCTCCTAAAAATGATGTCAATGTGGAAAGAAATGTTATAGAAAATCATGTCATTTCTCTAGTTCACAATGCCTTGAAAGACATTGAGACGACTCATCTTCCAAACAAGCAAATCTATTAGATACATGAAAAAGAAGACCAATAGCACAGAAAAAGACTGTTTATCATGAAATGACCAGATGAAATACAAATAGAATCCATGCTCAATTCGGAACAAGATGTCTACAGGTTCCTCCACCTCATCGTTGCATCTAAAATGAGGACATGCACAGGAGGATGGCCCCTAATCCCAAATGACCCTTGACCAAGGTCTCGAAAGACCAGAATGATCTACAGGAATTTGGGAGGCAATATTAACGAGTAGATGAACTACATGAGGCAGATATCACCAATCCTAAACTAAAAGCCTTTAAAAGTCCTAAATGCCCTACTATACCAACCCAAGTTCTTAATGCCCAGAGGACAATATCAAGGCAATACTTAACTCTAAACTGAAAAACCAATGCCATCTCCTAAGATGAGCTATATTAACAACCATAATGCACCATGTGCCAAAACCAACATCAACATTCTCAATGGGCTGAGAATGCTTCTTCATACAAGGAACTCTTTCCCCGCGGTTGTTTGCTAGGAACCTTTGTTGAATGCTTTCTGATTTCCAATAATAAAAGTCTCTCTAATATCATAGATACCCCAGCAAAAACATATAGCAATGACAAATAACAGATAGAGGAATGGCTGACTATGGCTTTGATGAATGTGATACTTACAATACCAAAATTCTTTCCTTGTTTAGCTAATGTATAAACAGAAGCATAGCCCAAACAAATAATCAACAGAGGAATGGCCGACCGTGGCTTTGATATTTGTGATGCCTACAATACCAAAACTCTTTCCTTGTTTTGCCAATACATAAATAGAAGTATAGGACACCAAGATATTCAAACAGGAAGCTCCGTAACTTTCTCAGTAAAATTGATGTAAAGGGATCCAAGGTCACCCCGGAACCCCAATGGCATAAGCAAGGTTTTTGCTGCCATTGATTCTTTGCCTTATATGAGTTTAAAGTATCTCATAAGTTTGGTCAGGGGTAGCATCGAAGAACTTTGTTGCATCATCAGTGACACATTCCAACATAGGACATGATCAAAGTATCGTCCAGCACAGATTTGAAGCATTAGAAATTCAATTAGTAATTCAGCAGCAACCATTCAATTCCAATAATTGAGGAGTCCCTGACTCATAACCCACTGAGGTATTTCCAGTGATAAAGGCCACATATGTATATCACACAATGCATACATAAAGCCCACGAATTCCCATCTGTAACAATTCATTCAAAACCCAAACAAATAATTTGATAAGACATATCAAACAATCTTTATCCTCTTTTTTTGATAATTAAAAACACTTCTTGTATCACCAATTAAAAAAGTACTAATAATCAGAATGACTTACAGTTACTGAGAACTCATAATTCAATATTAGTCCCCATTCCCCATGAAATTCACCACAAAACCAAAGAAAACTAGAGAAACTGAGAGATGGGGTGTTTACCCAAAAGAGAAGAGGATGGTTCGAGTGCAAAGCCTCGTGACCCACATGATCCTGCACCTCCATCTCGGCATTGGGTTCTGCCTATCTGTCCATCCTATCAACGCTATCTTAGTAGCCACATAACCAACCAGCAGAGAGAGCCCAAAGATTACCAGCCTCAACAGAACAATGGGCAAGCAAACCAGGATCTTCACCCACTCATAGAGACCCTGAGCATGAGGAGTGTGGTTCCTGAAAGGGTCAAGAGGAGCTGGAGAATCTATAGAGAGATTAGCCCCTAAGAAATCAAAAGGGTTTCGGTCTTCTCCCATTTCTGAATGTTGTTGTCCGCCATTGATGTCCAGCACAAGGTGCGCCTCCTCTGTACCTCTTGTGGAGGAAAGCAGAGGGGCGCCGAGATCCTCCATTCCTGAGGTGGTTCAGTTGTGGAGCAGCCGGTAAATGGCGATGACGGGCAAAAGTGCAGGATCTTTTGAGCGACCAACAAAAAGCCAAGAGAAAAAGAGTATTTATTCGTGTGGCGTAGCAGAATTATAGGGTATAAATATAATGATGAGATAAAGAGAGAGATGTTCAGAATTATAGAGGTAAATTTTATATAACGAATTGAATGGAGAGAGAGTATGGGGGAAGAGAGAGGCAAGAGTTGCAGGATTTTAGAACATGAGTAAGAGAGAGGGATTCCGGAGTTTTTGTAAGAGAATATTGGCTGGAGCTGGATAGAGAGAGATAGAGAGGGTTGGTCAGAGCATTTAGAGCATAAATTTAGGGAAAAGTTTATATAGAGCCGTGGCTTTAAACAATCAAATTAGAGCCTACCTCAAAAATTTCATAGGTTATTTTGATTTTCAAATATCTTCAGATTGATCGTCCCAACATCAAAATATTCAAGTTTTTATAGATATGTGGATCTACACTATTTTTTTAAAATTTAAACTTTATAAATAAAATAAAAAATATATTTTAAAGTTATTACAAAGATTTTCAATATTAAAATCTCGACATAGTTAGGCCCTAATTTGATTGTTTAAAACTTAAGCTCTATAAAATCCCCACCCTAAACTTAATAGGAGAGAGAGATTTAGAGGGAGAGCGCAGGACCGAGAAGGATTGCACGGTCGGTCTTGAGAGAGAGAGAGAGAGCGAGGAATTGTAGGCTTTTAGGGCAAGAAAACTGAAAACAAATAAATCATTGATCGGGTGGCGGTCGTCTCATTTCTAAAATCTACACACCGAATGGTCCAAGTAAGCGCATTATCACATTGCACCCTTTTCCACCCGTAAAACGTGCTCACGTGCATAGATGCCGGGTAGGTTTTTATTATTTAACCATGATGGATCATGGTACAATATGGTCATGGACCATATCAAACGATGATGGAGGAAGTGTGTGTCTGAGCTTATGACATGTTCAGTGAGACAATCTAGGAATGGGCTGAGTGTGGGCACCACAACTTGATGTCTGAGAGTCAGTGTTTGCAAAATCAAACTAGAGCCGTTAATCGGATATGGGGACATGAGTGGCTAGAGCCACTGTCTGAGTCGGCATTTGCAAAATCAATCTGGAACCGTTAATCAGATATGGGACATGAGGGGTTAGAATCGGAACCAGACTAACTGGTCTGGTAGAATTTTTTTCTTTTAAATAGAACAGAAACCTCAAAAAAAAAAGAAAAAAAAAACCATAAATTTAATAGATATTATTTTATTACATTTATTTTAAGAAAAAAATTTGAAATAATTTTTTATATAAATTAATATATGAATACCTGTCATTCACGTATTCCAAGTTCCTCAAGTAATTGTATCAATCAATCCTACCAAAACACCCTCTTTCTTTCCAGCAAGTTCCTCAAGTAATTGTATCGGGCAATCCTACCCGTTAGGTCACTACTTCAACCTCTTAATCTTGTATTCTAGGTTAAAGCTAATTCAGAGTTTATTTTCATCATTATTTTATAATCTGATTATCAGCAACACGTACATTAGAAATATCAGTCAACATGCATATTTTTTTGGCTCTAAATAGCGAAGCATAGTTGTTTTTGTATAACATTCCAAAAACTTTGATAGAAAAATGAAAAAAAAAAAAAAAAAAAGAGAGAAGAACGCACAGTTTCATTGAACAGAAGGTAACCAAAAAAAATTCATGCACTTAAAAAAAAAAAATTTGTCACATTTCCACTATTATAAATAGAACTGTATCATGCACTTAAAAAAATATAATTAAAAATAATCGAGCAAAAGATCGAGCGACATTATTATGCACTTATTTTTTGGTTAGAAAAAAAAATTAAAAAGAATAATCAAATTTTTTGTCATATTCATCAAAAAATAATTTTGTTAAGCAAAATATATTTTTTTTAGAAAAATTTATTTCTCAAAAACCCCAAAAATTGAGCAACATTTCGAGCAAGAAACAACCCTCAATGTTTGGATAATTGAACAACTCAACATACATGCATTGTAAAGGCTTCAATCATCTTTTAAACGCATCACATCTCATCAAAAAATATTTTGTATTTTTATTTAATTGAAAAAATGGCAGAAATTTTTTATCTATAAAATTTTCATAACATCATGCAGGAAAATATTTCATATAAAAAAATTTACTCAATCATAAATAAATATACCTATTTGGTATTTTTATTTAATTGAAAAAATGACAGAAATTTTCATATCTATGAAAATTTCATAACATCGTGTAAGAAAAAAATTCGTATAAAAAAATTTACTCAATCATAAATAAATATACCTATTTTATTTGAGAGATAAGGCCTTGATGATCAAAATCCATAACTCAATTTGATAAAAAACGACCAATAAATTGATCTAATATTTGCTTTTTTGGATTGAAAGCAGGTTCTTTGAGCAGCAGTGTTTCGGGCGAAAATCAACCCACAATATTTCGTTGTTTGAACAAATTTAAACACAGATTTGGTAAATGCTCCTATTATCTATCAAACCCCCCTAATTTTATCAAGAACCATTCGGTATTAAAGAGATTAGTGAAAGAACTGCGAAAATTTTCAAAACCTTGGAAAATTTGCCATTTCAATCCAAATTAAATTTTTTTTTTTTTTTTTTTTTTTGTATGTTTCAATCCAAATTCCTTGTTTATAGACATTCGATAGTGATTTACATCAATAATGCACAAAAAAAAAAATTGTAGGAAATAAATAAAAAAATGGTAGAAAACGTGATTCACGGGTGCATGCTACAAATAACGGCCACCATTGGAAAATAGCACCTGTTATTTTCACATGATTGTTATTTTTCTAAAAATTGTCTGATATAAGAGCTAACTGGTCTGGTTAGCAAAAAAACCGACCGATTAGATGAAAAAATGGCCGGTTTGTATGTATAACGATCGGTTTTGGTCCGGATTTTTTGGGGTGTTTAGTATGCCTATTAGAAATCCAAAATCAAGCCTAACTGAAGTCGAGACGCTAGCGATTCCAATCTAACCGGTGGGTTCCACTTCTAACTGGACGGTTTTTCTAAGTTCTATTTCCACTGCGGTTAAAAGGATCCTTTATCATTGAACTAAGTGACACCCAAACTCCATGCATCCCAATATAATGTATTTGATTAGACATTTACAATCCTTACGACGGTATATATGATCATGTAGAATTGTGGACCTTAGATTACATTCTCATTAATTATTAGGATTGCATACTAATTACATGATTCTTATCATCATCATCATTAGAGCATTTTTCCAACTATTTGGAGGGGAGGGGGGGGGAGGGGGGCTTTGTCATTCTATTTATCAAGGGTCATTCCCACAAAAAACCCATAAGTCCGCATATATTTTCTTACTATTTTCAACCATGTCCTTTTGGGTTTACCCCCTTGTCTTTTTTTATCATTTCACTTGAGCTAACTCGCAGCTTCTAAATGTGTGATACTAGGTATACACTACAAATGGTCAGTCTACCTAAGTCTACTTTCTCTCATCTTATCGTCTATTGGAGCCACACCTAAGTTATTCCAAATATATTTATTTTGAATTATATCCCTTCTTGGCTTGCCACTCATCCATCGTAACATCCTCGCCTCAGCGACACTCACTATGTGATGTCACCCATATATAAATTATGGGATTGTATACAATGAGATCATTTATCTTTTATATGAGGTGGTTACAATTATGTACAACCATCTGATGTGAAATCTTATAGCTTGAGTGTGTCACAAAGTTTGAGAAAAATTTCTTTGAAGTTTGTGCTTGATGGAATAAATGCAACCATCTAATTTCACATCCAATGGTCAAGATTAATTGTGACCACCTTGTACTATAAATAAATGGTCTCATTGTATACTTTTTCATAAATTATATGTGACTCTATTCTCAGCCATTTGATCTGAATGGATGGCAAGGATCGCTCGTATCCCAATGTCATGCCAAAATATTGTTTTACTTTTATTTTTTCTACAAAATATTTTTGAGTGAAATATGGGGCTTCTCATCTTTTTATATATTACAATAAATGATCGTATCCTAAATACACTAATAGGAAATTTACCAAAATACCTATAAGAGATGAACTATTTCACATTTTACCCATGTTGTTTATATTTAATTTCAATATACCCATCAAGAGAAACAAGATCATAAATTTGAAGAGTGAAAAACACGAAAAGTTTTAAATAGTATGTCTCATGAGTATTTTGGTAAGTTTCTCTTTATTAATTGTAGATAACATAGTTTAATCGAGATAAAATTAATTTCCATCCAAACACACCCCATAAGTATATCATGCAATATTATGTGTCTCATTGTGAAAAATTACCCATATCAATGACATTAACATGACACTGTCACACAAATTAGTAGTTGATATTGGATAACAATTTCAACAAGTTAATCTTTCTTCTATCAAACTGTAATGTAGTCATCTCATCGGTTGTTGATGGCTTCATGAGAGTGCAATATAGCCATCTCATGAGATCTTGATGGCTTGATGAGGGTGATCCTCCATGGATGATGAAGCCTGCAGGTGTCACATCCAGTATCAACACTTTGGCCACATGACAATGTATCATTGTCCAAATTGTTGTGTGTCTCTATTGTGTCAATAGAAATGGATGTACCACCTATGGACTGCTTTTTTATGGCTATCTTCCCTCTCTTTCAAATTATATGTTCCCCTACAAGAAACCATATTTTCAGCTTTAATAAGCATAAAATCCATCACTTGTTGTGTATGAAACCATATTTTCAGCTTTAATAAGCATAAAATCCATCACTTGTTGTGTATGATGTGAAAGAAAGACCTATATTATCTTTTACCGGAGAATACATTTTTGTTTTTTTTTTCTTCACCCTTTTCTTTTGGCAAAAGATAACTTACAGGTGGTCTGTATTACAATAAAATAAATTTCAAAATAAAATCAACATAACAATAAAACCAAGATTTTAACAACTTGATGCTTTTGAAATAACTATGCACTATGCTTGAGAATAAAAGATAAGATTGCAAGAAATAAGAGGAAGAGTACCGGAGATTACCTCAACCGAGCTTATTACACCCCGCACCGAGTCACCACCATCCGATAGTGCGGGATCAATGATCAACTTTCAATTTCAATGGAGAAAACAAGTTTAGGCCAAGCTACACCAATAGAACATGAATCCATTTTATCACAAACTCAAACCCTACGTGAATTCTCTTAGAAACTTAGTTTGAGAGAGATGAATTATCTTTTTGCTAAACCTTAAAACCCCTAGCCATAAATCCATAGTTGAGAGATAAGA